TTCTCTAACTCCTGTATATGCATATCCTTTTCTCTAGTGACATGATGAGCTTCATGAAGAATTCTGACAGGGATCTTAAAAGTTTTCATAACAATGTTCCATATGTTGATTGTAGTGGTTATATGTGTAAATGCATTTATCAAAACATCAAATTATAGACCTAAAATAGATGCATTATGGAACGTAAATTGTAGCTTAGTAAAGCTGATTATTAAGAGACTTTGCATCCCTTCCAAACTCTAGAGCTATGATCTGCTCTTATGTGTATTTTTCTGTTAAAATATTCTGTTAAGCTGTACAGTGGTTTTTTTGTTTGTGTTTGTTTTGTTTTTGCTATAACAAAGAATATTTTCAGCATCTCCAGAGATATGTATCCAACCACATGGCCCCACCAAGATTTTTCATAGGCTCCACAAACAACATGACCAAAAGAGAACTGTCAATTTCCTGGCATTGACCCAAACTAGCTCTCCATTCACTTCCCCATCTAATCAAACCACCCTCAACCCGCAGCAAAGATCCACGTTTCAAGAGACACTCATGATTCCTTTCTATTGTTCACCACAAATATGGACTTTGTCAGCAGGTTCAGTACTTCAAGGGCACATCTCACTTCAAACCACTCTCACCCATTCCATGGGTAAGATCCTGCTCCATGCCACAGTAACCTCTACACTCATGTCTATGGTAGACTCCTAACTTATCTCCTTGCACTTCATATTTCAATCTGTTCTCTAAAGAAGTCATTGAAAGTGAGTATTAATAAAGTAAATTATAATAACATACTTTTCTTTCTTAAAGCATTGCAATGGCTCCATCCTAATAAGAACAAAACCCAGAGTCCTTACCATGACCCACAGGCCCTCTGTGATCTGGTCCCTCCTACCACTATAACCTCATTATCTAACAATGTGCTCCCAGTGCACATTGGCATCCAACCTGCTTCCTAAACATGCCAGGCTTGTTCATACCTTAGGGTCCTTCTTCTTGATGTTCTCTCTGCCTAAAGAGCTCAGCGTCTATATCTCTACTCTGCTGACTACTTCTTTCTAATTATCAGATCAGAAAAACTTCTTCAGAAACTCTTCCCTGCCCTCCCCACCCTAGGCATTCTGTATCAAATTTCTCCATAATATTTTCTTAGTAGCACCTAACTCTTGAGTGTTATTAATTCTTCTAAAATGTAAGCTCTGTGTGAACCAGGATCTTGTCAGTCAGGTTCTGTGCTTTATCTCCAGTGCCTATCACTGCCTCTCATATCATTGGTAACCAATAACTATGTGTTGAATGAATGAGTGAATGAATGACATAGATTAAACATATGTATGCTAAACTGTGATGAGCCAGTCATAGTCTGGGGAAGGGGATTTGGAAGGATGGTGAAATGAGCTGGGGTATCACTGAAGCAGCAGTTTTGTTTGAACCCATGAAAATTGTGGGTGGAAAACTGGGTAGAAAGGACATGATAACTGAGGGTGTGCTTCTAGCTGCCTTGGGTGTACAAGTGTAGCATATATTCTATACTAATTCTCCTTCCTTCTTAATAAGAGAATCCCAAATTTATTTGGGACAATAAAGTTTCCAGTAGAAGTCCACACCTCCTTGCAGCTAGGTGTGGCCACATGACCAACTTTGCCCAATTTGCTGATTGCAGAAGTGTCATGCGGTAGTTCAAGGAAGGCAAGTAAAAGGGAGCTAAATTTCTCAGACCAATGTGTTTCTCACACCATTGCTTGTGGACTGAATTGTGTCCCACCCAAATTCATATGTCGAAGCTCTAACCTCCCGTGCCTTGGAATGTGTCTGTGTGAAGATAAGGCCTTTAAAGAGGTGATTAAAAGGAGGCCATTAAGCTGGGCCCTAATCTCATCTGATTGGTGTCCTTTTAAGAGGAATTTAGCACACAAAGAAATGCCAGGAATGCATATGCCCAGAGGGATGACCATGTGAAGAAGATGTAAGAGGGCAGCCATCTGCAAGCCAAGGAGGGAGGCCTCAGAAGAAACCAAATCAGCAGACACCTGGATCTCAGACATCCAACCTCCAGAACGATGAGAAATAAATTTCTGTTGTTTAAGCCACTCAGTCTGTGCTGTCTTGTTATGGCAGACTCAGAAAACTAATACAGTATCAGGGATGGTTTTCAATTTTGACAGCTAATTGGAATCAACTGAGGAATGTTAAATATACTGACTACTGGACTTACCCCTAGAGATTCTGATTCAATTGGTTGAGTCTGGGCATTAGAAAGGATTCTAATGGATATCCAGTGTTGCAACCCACATGTCTAGGAGAATAGTTTTCTGGATCCTATAGAGCTGGATTTGAGTGATGAATCTGGCATCGCTTGCAAGATACTTTTCCTCCATGTCTTGCTCCTTTCATTGTTTTTTCCCCCAATACACATTCCCTTATTTTTCTGCTCTATCTAGGTCCCCATAGATGGAACCAGAGATTCCCCTCATATTAGACCTGTTCCACATCCAAGATAAATCCTAATTCGAGACATGTTAAGCTCCACTTCTGCCTTCCCAGCTAAGAAAAGTGAGTCTCAAAAGGCCTCACACTCTTATTCTGCCTGTTAGCCTGAGCCAGCACAGCTCTCTAGAGCTACATCTGGCCACTTAATCCAATTTAAAATGGACCAAAAAACATGAGCCAACAACATACTGATGGTAAATAGGTACTTGAAAAGATATTCAACATCTTTAGCCATCATGGAAATTCAAATTAAAAACACAAAAAAACATTAAAGACACCTATCAGAATGGTTGAAACAATATGGACACCACCAAATATAGGCAAAGCTATGGATAGAATGTGAGTCACTCTTACATTGCTAGTGGGAATGCAAAATGGTATGGCACTCTACAAAACAATTTGGCAGTTTCTTTCAAAACTAAACATGCAATTACCATATTATACACCAATCACACAAAGTAAATTTACCCAGAGAAATGAAAATTTGTGTTCATGCAAAAACCTGTACATGAATGTTCCTAAAAAATTTATTCATAATAGTTAAAAAGTGAAAACAGCTCAGATGGCCTTCGACAGGTAAATGGTTAAACAAACCAGGGTACATGCATACCATGGTATACTACTCAGCAATAAAAAGGAACAAACTATTGATACACTTAACTTGGATGGCTCTCAGGGGAGTTATGCTGAGTGAAAGAAATCCTTTCCAAAAGGTTGCACACTAGAAGATTCCATTTATGTGATATTTTAAAAATTACAAGTGTGAAAGAGGTTAGGATGTGGAGCCAGGGAGATGTGCTCTGGTATAAAGGGTAGCACAAGGGAAATTTGTGGTGATGGTACAGTTTTGTATTTTGTTTGTGGTGCGATTTATACAGAATCTACATGGCTGGTAAAAGTACATGTAAAACTGGTGAAATCTCAGTAAGCTCTGTGGACTATACCAAGAGCCATTTCCTGGTTCGATATTGTACTATACTAATGCAAGATGTTGTCATTGGGAGGTGCGTGGAGGGTATATATGACCTCCTTGCACAACTTTTAAAACTTCTTTTAAATCAATAAATATTTTAAATTAAGAAGGTAAAAAACAACACAAGATTTGTGGTAAAAAATATTTAAGTACACAACACTCAAAAACTTCATCAGTGACACTAGAAACAAGACAAGAATCTAATAAAAAGGTTAGCATGGTTTTAGACCAGTGAAATGATTAAGAAATCCATAAATACTACAATGAATATGGCACTCTACTTGATAAAAGTGTTAAGTTTGTTTATAGAAGTGAGTGTCACAGCTTGTGAGTTACTCTAAGGTGATGGAGAGATTATCAGGGTACAGGGAGCAAAGCTTGGATTTTAAGGTAGTCCAGGAATGGAGTCCCTACTCTATAATTTTCAAGCACTGTGAAGGCCTGATATAAATGCTAGAGACTGTCATGAATGAAGGGGAAGACTGGACCTTCTGGTCTTAGCCCCGTTGGCTCATGGTTGGGACAGAGGAAGAGCAATTGAAGACACAAAACATACAATGTGCAGCATAACTCTTTAATATGAAAATAAACAAGGATCATGAATGGGCGAAGTACAAACAACTGGCAGGCTTCAAGGTAAACTTTGGCTTCCTGGTCAGTCAGGCTCCAATCTTAGCCATGGATGTAGCCTCAAGTTGGAAGAGAGATACAGCAAATATGATGAGGGTGAAAAATAGAACACCTAAGGGCTCCTTTCTCGGGCTTTGTTTACAAGACCCTAGGTCACTAAATGAAGGCCTCCTCTGGGACCTTGCCCTTCATCTAGAGAAAGTCAAGAGAGAGCATTGGGAAGACAGTAGAGCAAGCAGTGCTGAGATTCATCCCCAGGCCACCTGACTTCTATCCACTTAGCCTTGCTGAAAACCTGAGGACCGGTGTCCTTTCATCTCTGAATTCTCAGACTTCACTTTTTAATGAGTAAAGAATTTCAAGTTCTGGTATCATTTCGTCATTGTACTAAAAGCACATGTGGTGGAGGAGGACCCATGACCTCTCTGAAGACCAAAGTGGAGACACTTTGACCACACAATGTCACTGCTAAATCTAGGCCACAAAAAGAATCCTGCAAGTTTACCAAGCTGNGAAAGAGCTTCCAAATTTGCCAAGCTGTATGCACTGGAATGACCAAGTGGCACTGCATGTAATGCTGAAAAAGCAGTGAAAAGACAAATATCTATCAATAATAGCTTATGGCCTAATGGAATTCAACTGCTTAATATACAGACCTTAGCAGGAATAAGGTAGCTTAACATACTTAGAGTAAACTACGCTGGAGCTAATAATAAACAAAGGAAGTATCAAATAGTATGTACAGTACGAAAACTGGGTCTTACAATATATTTCAAATGTATTGGCATAAAATTAAGGTATTTTCACATGTGAACTTAATAAATAGATCTAAAATAATTACCTGCAAGTTCTCACTATTCAATCCTCCCAGCTCCCTCCTATCCCCATGCACACCCATCACTCACTTCTGAGACCACTAGAGGCTCATCTGCGACAGGCTGAAGGAAACCTGCACCATTTCCTGCTGCTCCTGAGAGAGGGTGGGCACTTGGGTGGAAAATTCACTCTGAGTCTCACTGGGGGTGGCATCCCTCAAACACAGCTCATCATTCACAATGAACATACTGGAAGGAAAATGAGCCCTCAGAAAACTGATGGATAGACAACCCCACACCCACAATAATGATCCTGCTTACACTGCCACTCAGCAAACAGATTCTTCCAACACCCCTTCTGTACCTGAGCCCCAGATTCCTTGACTGGTAGCTCTGCCACTCCCACAGACTCCACCCTTGGAGAGACCGTCTACCAGCTTCCCTAGATTTGTACCTCAAACCCGCTTGCATTTACTCTATGAAACAGCCCAAGGGAGAGGGCAGTCTAATCCCATTTTCAGAGGAAAACATAGTGTCACAAAGAGGTCATGTTATTTCATTAAGAAATAAACCTAGTGAGAATTTGGGTCATGAAGAGGACCTAAAAGAAACCTGGAACACTTTCAATGTTCTAAACCCAGAGCTCATGTTCTTAACCCCTATGCAGGACTGTTTCTTGGATCAACCTGCTGGTTTCCCACAACACACTGAGAAAACCCTGAGGACATGCACTGCCACATTCCCACAGCCCTGAGCCCAGGCTGAGTTGGATGTTCCCACCCAGAGCGCAGCACTCACCTGGAATTGCTGGTAAAGGTAGCGATGAAGGTCCGGGTGAAGGCACGCACAGAACCCTGAGACCTTCCTTCCACTTCAACAACAACAAATACCACGTTGTAATCCCACATGCTTCACTCACTCACACAGCGTTCCCCAGTCAGGGTGGGACTCAATACTCATGCCAAGGGGACAACTGTTCCCTGGGAGTCAAGGTGTCGGGACTGGGGAGGGCAACCATAGGAGCAATCTGCTGCCACTGACAAGGACCCTACGATGTGCTGGGCCTTGGGACAACCACTTCACAAGTTCATTTGATTCATTTTTTGCAGCTACCCGAGAGGTGAGCATTATTTAGCAAATAAGAAATATGAGAAGTTAGATAATGGGCCCAGGTTCGCATATACAAGATCTGAGATGACAACCATCAAACCTCCCAGCCTCTGTCCCCAATGCCCTAGCTGTGCAGGGCTGACAAGCATAGATGCAGGTCAGACCAGGATGGTTTGGGGGCACACTGGAGGCAGGAGAACACAGAGGGAATAGTAAGGAAAGGGAAGAGATCGGGGAAGCTGAAAGTTCTGAAAGGGAACCCAGCCAGGAGGAGGGAGCAGTGGGATACCTGGGGAGGAGAGTCTATACACACTCACCTTCCTTGAATATCCCATTGACACAGAAGAAGAGCAAGCTTTTCTGAACAAAAAAAGACGACAGGTGCTCAGTCTCTACCTACACCTACAGCCACCTGTCTTTCTGGGCCCTACTCCAGGGAGGAAGTGGGTGCTCACCGACTGGAACCACATGTCCACCACAAAGGAGCTGAGGTCATGCTGTGTTTTGGGAAACACACAGAGGGAGCTCACAATGTTATGATTTGTACGTTTCAGCAGCTGAAAACGCAGGTCTGTGGAGGAAGGACAGCAAAGGTGAGGGTTGCCTCACCCTGGGCCCTATGACTGACCCTTCTTGCCCCTTTTCCCTGCCATATCTTTCCCATGCCACACGCACTGGGATCCTTGAGGTTCTTCATATTCCTGTTATCCTTCAAGTACTCAAACAAGCTGCTTCTAGGAGAAAAGAAAAAAACAAACAATAGATGTGGTGGTCCAGCCAGTGTGGTTGTTTCCGTGAGCTGACCAGTTTCTGCTGGGGAGACACAGGCTCCAGAATCAGTCTGAGCTGTGATACTCACGGGCCTGCATCGTCCGGAATGAAGGGTATGGTCAGGGAGAAGCAGGCCTCATCGTGATAAGCACCGAGGAGACTCTGTCTGTCTGTAGAGTCATAGATCAAGTAGTATCTGTGAGGAGACAATGAAGGCAGTCTATCTCTATGGACTGGACCTCAAAAGAGACTTGAGAAGTCTCAGGAGCATACCAGTGCTTGGGAGGCCCGGACTGTCCCAACGCCTCCCCATCCTGGTGGTCCCAGAGGTACTTACTGCTGCAGGAAATGCTGAACTTGAGTCTTCAGAACCTCAGAACCTTCACAGCTTTCCTGGAATCAAAGACATTTGAGACCATGTGGCTGATAAAACCTCCCTTACAATAGCCCAAGTATTGACCTTTCTTCCTCACCTTTATTAAGGGCTTTATTAAGTAGGGTCTGTCAATGTCAACAGTAATTGGTGGGGGTAAATCCTGGCCATCCTGGAGAAAGGAGAAATAAGTTAGCAGTATAGACCAGGGAGGTGGTCCTGGATGACTAGGGGAAAGTTTGGGTCCAGGAGATGGTGAAAGTCAGAGTTCAAGGGTGAAAGCCCCCTGGAAATTCCATGGGCTAGATTCCAGTGGGTGTCTGCATCTTGAGGTCCTGGAAGTCTCTATTGATTTTTCTTATTGTTGACTCTATTACAGGTATCCCCCATTTTCCCCACCTTTGTCTCCCTCTACCCTGTTCCAGTTATCACTAGGCCTTCACCACATTATTGTCCACATCCATGAATTATGCATACTGTTTGATGCAACTTTTGTGTATGTGTTTCTGTTTCTCTTTCCCTCCCTCCTTCTCTCCCTGTCTTTCTGTGTCTATGTGTGTGTGTGTACATTTTAAGAGATGTTATATTCATGTCTTTTTCAGAAGACCATGTCCTCCCAAATGAATAAGGCTCTGATGCAAACATGTCACCTTGGCAAGACACAAAGGGCTTGAGGGCAGGTGTGGAGATCATCAATGTTAGTAAGAGACAGTGATGAATATAGGTACTTACCAAGCGTGACAACTCGGGGAAACATTTCCTGATGACACTGTCCAAATTCGAAAATAGAAAGAAGTGGTTGCTAGTTTAGGTTGCAATGCTTCCATTTACTTAAAACACTGATGGCATAAACAGAGACATGTGTTCTGCCCACCTAGCAGCCCCCTTTGCCTTACTCAGCCTCTGATTTCAAGAATTCTATGTCCAATTTGCTCCTCACCACTGACCATCTGCCAAATGGAATCTCTGAAACGCAACCTCCTCATCTCTCTCCACACCTCCACATTCATATTACCTCCCTTCTTCCCTCCCTGACCTTTTCCCTCCCTCTCTCTCCTCCCTCTCCCTCCTCCTGGTTAGCTTCCTCCTAGAGGGCCCTGACTCCTTCTCCAGACACAACATACGGATCCCAGACTGCCAGGCTTCTTCCCCCTCCCTGCCTCCCTTCCTTCCTCCAGGTCTCCACTGATATCTACAAAGAGAAGAGGAAATGGGGTGGGGGCCCAGGGCTCTGTTACCTCACTGGGGGTCCAACATCCTGTCAGGAACCGGACATGCCCCAGGGATGGTTCGGAACACTTGGGCAGGGAGGTGAGTGAGGGATTAGGAGGCAGGGAGGGAAAGGAAGGGGAATGAAGACAGAAAGATAGTGAAGATAGCAGTGGAGATTAGGAAAACCTAAAAGAGTAGAGACAATGGAGAATGAGAAAAAAATGTAAAGGGGAGGGAAAGCAGCTTTGCCATGGGGATGGGGACCAAACAAGAAAAGAGAAGAGATGGGACATGGCAACAGCCCTTTCCTTCATTTGCTCCTAGCTGGCCCTGGGTCTCCAGGTAGGAATGGAAAACATGTACCTGTTGGCCTAAGGGCCATAGGATGCTGGTTGAGCCTTTGTCACCTGTGAGACTCAATCTGAACTGGGCATGGGAAACACAGCAGCCAGGGGATCAGGAGACCTTCCCCAGAAGTTCTAAGGGTCCTCCCCAGCTCAGCTTGATGTTGGAGGGTCTGTGGTCCCCTCTTATGATCACTGCCTTCTCTCCTCATGGCCCCTATGCATCTGTGCCTGTCTTAGTTGGTTCCTTTTATGAGTAATCCTATCCATTTCAGGTTACCCAGGATCCTCTGAAGGACCAGGCAGATGATATGATGTGTGAAAGAAGGGGCAGTGCCCCTGAGAGGACTGTTCTCCCGTCTACACAAGCCACTCTGCCCTCTTCCTTTCACTGATGCCTATAGAGGCCCTGTGCTCACTGCTGGTGGCTCACTTTGGGTGGCCACTCAGCAATCCCTGGGTTCTACCTAGAATGCCCCATCCCTGGTGTTGCACTAAAGAAACGGATGTCATGATGACAGCTACCTGGGGCCTGGGCCCTTGGCATCGGGTGAGAAAGTCCCCATGTCAACCTGGGACTCTAGGGAAGACCCTTTACAACCAAGGAAAAGAAAGTTCCTCCCAGAACAAGTTAGGGATACTCTGTATCCTCTCAGAAGCAGAAAGGATTGTCTCAGCATGATTCTGAGGTGGAGGATGTTTCTCAGTCCAGATCAGCAGTATCTGCCTCAAGGCTCAACACTCCTGGTCCTGGTTAGCTGGAGAGCCCTGCATCCTGGAGCACATTCTTGGTGGGCATGCTAGAGAAAACTAGATGCATAGTTGGAAACAAGACCCCAGATGATGAGAACAGGTGAGCAGGTCAGAGGAAGGGTAGGAGACATCTCAGCACAGGCAAGGGACACAGAGAAGAAAAGGTGGGGTTTCTAGAACTTTCAGAGGTCCAGGGCTGCCATTTTCTGCAGCAGGCACTATCATGGGTAGTTCGGGCTCCCAGGAGTCAAAGGACCCCAGGAAGGGTGACAGGGGTTCACACTGACCTTATGTAAGTAGACTCATCTGAGAAGGTATGGCACAAGGGATTATCTTCCAGCCATAGCTCTTCAAGCTTCAGGCCTTTGATCTTGCATAACTCCCAGGTAGAGTTAAGCTGATAAATAT